AGATTACGATGTGCATCTAGAATCCTGAAATGCAAGCCTTTGGAAGGCAATGGAATAGAACCTAAGCACCGAAAGCTGCAACAGGAACCCCGGCTTCCCAGTCTGTCATTCAAGGAATCCTCAGAACTAAGGTACCCAGAGTTGCTGTGGCAAACAAGCACTTGCCAGGGGTTAACTATGGTCAAGGGGAAAAGGCATTAACTTGGCCTTTTCACATTTCTGTTTTTAAAATTGCAGGCTGCGTTCCTTTCCCTTTAAAATTTTCCTTTTAGAATTATCTCTTGTTTTAGCGCTTTAATTATTTTTATTATATCTTTGACCTTTTGGTATATTTTTTTAAATGGAGAAAGCCAGCACGGGTGTAAAGAGCTATTCTTAAATAAGGGAGGTTGAATTCCATTTTTCCTGGGCAGCTCCACGCAAACTCCTCTTTCCTGAGTTTTTGACCCTCCTACTGGGGTGGGCATCTCCAGTCCCCTCTGTCCTGCCAATAACAGGTGGTTACAACTGGTTCTAGAGCTAATCCTGACTAAGGCAGGAAGTCTATAGGCAGCAGGATGCTCTCACTAGTGGGAACTGGAATTAGTATTTTGTGCTTCTAGGGTAAGTCTTGGGCATTTCTAGGGCCACCAAGCCACCCGTCTTCCAAGCAGTGTTTGTTCTTCCCACACAACTGGATGGCCACCTTGCTTCCTTCCACAGCACTTGAGCTTCTAACCATTTTCTGAAGCTAAATAGGTTAGGCTGGAACCGTGCATGGACTTGGCTTCTGCCAGCCCGCATGCTCCCTGGGGGCTGACATTTCCCATGTGTCTGAGTTTCTCTTCCAGCCCATATGACAACACACACAGGTCTGCTGCTACAGAGCAGACCCACAGCTCAATCAGCTTTACTGATCCAGTGCTGCTTCCTCCCCACATTATTAGAGTCCTGTCCTGCCTTACAGCTGTACCACCTCAGTTAATAACACTATCTTCATGTGTCTCTTTCCAACCTAAAGTTATTCCCCCCAGAAAAGGTAGTTAGCATCATGTCTGATCCTGCAAATTCATTAGATTGAGGCAAAAGTCTTGCAATATGCACAGTAGCAAGATAGCTTACATAAAAGGAGAAGATAATGTCGCATCACTATACTTACTCAGGTCTGATGTGAGGAACTTGAGCCACCATCTACATTTTGATAGCTCCTAACCTCTGTTTCCAGCCCAGATCTCTCGTCTACTTTTCAGACCATACATCTAACCTAACTTTTCCACCTGGATAGCTCTCAGTAGCTCACAATCAACGTATCAGACACTAAAACTCATAGTTTTCATGTGTCCTCCCCCACCTCCTTCTCCAGGGACAATAGCTACAAAAAGCCTGCTTTCCTTTGTTTGTTTAATCAATCCAGTTGCCTAGAGTAGGATCCTGGGGTTCCATCCCTCACACTTCACATCCAGTCAATCAACCAGTCACGTGGAATCGCTCTCCTAAATATTTCTTGAGTCCATTTATTTCTCTGCATGCCCACTGCCAATATCCTAACCCAGGCCAGCCCACGTTGGCTTCCCACTGCCCTCACATAACATTCAAACTTCTTAACTTTGCACGGCAGGTTTATATATCAAAATGTTAATGTGCATCAATCCATAGTCTCTTGCCTAGCCCTGCCTTTACCTGCGCCAAAAACAACTAGCTCCTGCAGGCAAGGTAAAGTGTAGAGCATACAAACCTCAACAGATTGAAAATGGGCCCATATCAGATAAATTATTTATTCTAACTATAATAGAATGTTTTAAAAACTCAACGAAAAAGCCTCCTATGTGGCAAGTAATAAATAATATTTATTTTAATAGGTATTTACTATGTGCTAGGTATTGTCTTTTTATTATTAATTCACTTAACACATATAATATTTTTAGAGATAGTTACCATAACTACATTTTTCAGATGAGGAAGGTGATTCACAGAGAGTTGAGAACAAGTACAAGGTCACAGAGCCAGGATCTGAGCCAGGTAGTTTGTCTCCAGAATCCAGGCTCTCAACTACTGCACTGTGTGGTCTATGAACATAAAACATTTTACTTGTCATAGAAGTTTTACTTGTTATATTCAACATTATCCACAATAATAAATGTTATAATAAATATATAAATATATAATAAAAAATATAATAGTGATATAATAAATGTCATGTAGAGTAGCCGGGCAGAGAATTACCATTGTAGAAACTTTACCTGTTATAGAAATACCGTCCTCATAGAAGAGGGACATTGGCTTCTCTGTCTGTATGTAGGAGATATACAAGTTCTACTATTCCATACTATTGACCTTACTCAAAAGTCTTACCAGAGGATGTCTTTTACGAAGAATTTTGTCTACTGTGTTTGGCGCACATGGACTTAATACATCATTGCTTTCCACTTGTATGTCATTATTTCTCTGTCATCCATCCAGTGAAGATGTCAGTTGACATATGTGTCCTCTGCAAGTGTATAGAATGATTCCCAATGCAGAGCAGCATCTTGTTTATATATTGCAATAAAACCTCTCTCTCATGTTTTCACACTAAACCACCAAATTTCTCCAATCCTGAATTTCTCCTGAGCTTTACAATATTCTTCTAAACATCAGAGCAATATAATTTTACTATAAATTATAAAGTTGTATAAAGTCGAACACATCTGCAAAATGCCCAGGAGGCACCTCAAACTATATATATCCCCAAACCCAAAGTTTTGGGGTTTTTTTTGTCTGTCAAATCTGTCTCAATATTCTCTCCTTCAGCAACAAATATTCTTCACCTGGAACTTCTCTTATCCCGTCACCAAATTCATCACGAATGCCTCTTCTGTCACCTCTTTTTCATTTCCTTGAGCCGAACTATGTTCAGGCCATAATTATCTCTTACAAAGCCCACTGCAATAGTCTCCTAACAGATTGCTCTGAATCCAACTCTTATTAATAGAATCCGTCCTCTGTATTCCTCCCCTGCCACGTTTCCAAACACTGATATGACTATTACTTATTCACTGAAACAATTTATACAGAATGAAGTCCAAATTCCTCATGTCGGCATTCAAGTCTCTACACACATTGGCCTTGTCTTCCCAGCTGGCTAGCTCATTGAGGTTAGGAGTATGTTTCTTCAAAAATCTGTCATAGTGCAGTGAAATCCGTCTGTGTCTGTTTATGTTTGTGTGTGTACATATATATATATATGTTTTGTTGAATGGAATTATTAACATTATTCTCACACACAATGATTGCCCAGCTGGAAATAATATCAAAGGAAAACTACAGCCAGAAAATAAAGTGCTAAAAACAAATTTTATTCAGGAACTATTACAAAAGGGGAAAGGACACCTCAGTATAGAGCTAGAATCAATTCTGAATATAGCATATTTGACAAGTGGGGATTTATAGCCCAGGAGCAGGCTGGGGGTCAAGTGGATGGAAAACTCCATCTTTTGGATAGAACAGCAGCCACAGGTGAGACCGACTGTGGACAGTTCATTAGGCGGCTTTCTTTAGTGCCTGATCTGGGAAGGGAGTCCTTGAGACAGGAGGGTAGAAGGACTGGGACTAGGTGGCAGGAGTGAAGCCGTCCTCAGGGCGACCTGAAACCGCCCGTCTGCCCATTACCTTTAAAAATAACTACCTGGTCAAAGGAGGACGAGACTTAGCCCCCTTCGTCAAAGAAGGTGCAACTTCTAAGAAGGGGCACAATAATCCTCCATAGGTACCCAGGAAATGAGGGTTCACCATGTGGCTTATCAACGTAAATGATGAACTGCTGAATAGGAACAGTATCTTCCCCTAAGGCTGAGTAACCCTTGAAGGACAATAAAAGCTTTCACTTAAGGGAGAAGGGGGTCTTATCGTCATCTCTAAGGGGCTTTCTCTTAAACTTTTCCTCACTTTCGCTATCTGGCTGGCTCTTGAATTCATTCTTGTGCAAAGCCAAGGACCCTCTTAGCGAGGGGCTTGAGACCCTCCCTCTTTGGGGGTCTCACCCTATCCGGCCACATCCTGATTTACTTTCAGTGTCCCTCAGCTAGAGTTGACCTGACCCCCAAGTTACATGGGGTCTGCAGTAATAAAAAAAACAAACCAAAAACAAACACAAAGGAGGTCTTCACGTTGCCACTCATGGCCTCGGCCTGACCCTCACACCGCTGTCTTAACCCAGGTCTGGAGGTGAAATGCGCCCCACCCAGCTCCCTGCAACCACGCTCAGCGCTGCACCTGCCCCCGACCGCTCCCCGCGCAGACTCAGTGCGGGCCCTGCGTATAACTTCGTATAATGTATGTTATAATAAATATATAAATATATAATAAAAAATATAATAGTGATATAATAAATGTCATGTAGAGTAGCCGGGCAGAGAATTACCATTGTAGAAACTTTACCTGTTATAGAAATACCGTCCTCATAGAAGAGGGACATTGGCTTCTCTGTCTGTATGTAGGAGATATACAAGTTCTACTATTCCATACTATTGACCTTACTCAAAAGTCTTACCAGAGGATGTCTTTTACGAAGAATTTTGTCTACTGTGTTTGGCGCACATGGACTTAATACATCATTGCTTTCCACTTGTATGTCATTATTTCTCTGTCATCCATCCAGTGAAGATGTCAGTTGACATATGTGTCCTCTGCAAGTGTATAGAATGATTCCCAATGCAGAGCAGCATCTTGTTTATATATTGCAATAAAACCTCTCTCTCATGTTTTCACACTAAACCACCAAATTTCTCCAATCCTGAATTTCTCCTGAGCTTTACAATATTCTTCTAAACATCAGAGCAATATAATTTTACTATAAATTATAAAGTTGTATAAAGTCGAACACATCTGCAAAATGCCCAGGAGGCACCTCAAACTATATATATCCCCAAACCCAAAGTTTTGGGGTTTTTTTTGTCTGTCAAATCTGTCTCAATATTCTCTCCTTCAGCAACAAATATTCTTCACCTGGAACTTCTCTTATCCCGTCACCAAATTCATCACGAATGCCTCTTCTGTCACAGCCCCGCCGCGCGCGCTTCGTCCTGCGCGGCCCCGTGGGGCGGCGGGTCGGGGACGTGGAGCTGGTCTACCGCCTGACCGAGCTGGGCGCCCCCGAGCGGCCGCCGGCCCCGGAGCCAGGACCGGGAGACGCCGAACGGCCTCCGGGGGCCTCGGAACCCCCAGAAGCGCAGAAGGAGCTGGAGGAGGTTTTGCTCCCCGGCGAGGCCGACTCGGACAGCTCGGGTCCTGTGCGGAATGGAGAAGCCACCTCTGCGGCCACTCGTTCCCGTGCCAGTGGGGGGAGGAGTATCAGCCCCGTCGACCATGATGTCACAGAGCTGGACATGGAAACCAACACGTTTTGCCCTCCTCCTCTGTATTACACTCATTTCACCCAAGGAAAGACGCCTCCTCCACCAGGTAAAATCACCATCGAGACTCAAATGCATGTCCCCGAGGAACTGGATGATGCTTTTGCGGAAGAAAACCTTGTAAAGCCCCCAACACATACGAGTTCTCTGAAACATACTAATTCTGCCACACGGGAAAGTCCTCCAGTGCCTATAAATTCTCCACCTATTCAGGATATGGGGGCAATGAAGCAGACTGCATGTTGCCCTCAAACTGAACAAAGTAGAATTAATACAATAAGTCAGCTGCCTTTGTTAAATGCTTTGTTGATTGAGTTATCCTTGTTGTCCAACCAACCCATGGCAAGCACTGCTCATGTACATCCTCACTTAGCTTGGTTATATAGAACCGAGGATAAGAAGGCACCGGAATCTTCTGCCAAATCCATGTGTCCATCTGCATCTGAGAAGGATAAGCTTTCTATGGGGGAACGTGAAAAGTCAGTGAATGTCCAGTGTGGAAAGAACCAGGTTGATACCTTTAAGAAAGGTAAATGTTTTGAAAAGAACAGTGATGCTCCCCAAAAAAGAGTTTCAAGGGGGAGGCCTCTTTATGGCTTAACCAAGACACTGAGACTGCGTTTAAAGCAGACAAATCCTGCAATGTTGGCAATACATGAAAAGAGAGAACAGCATAGAAAAATGCAAACACAAATGTCGGGTACAAAATTCAGAATCCCATCATCCCAGCTGAAAGTACTAAGCTTTGCAGAACAAAGTCAGAAGCCACACCAACTGCTGGAGGAGAAGTGTTTAGATTCAAATGTATCTTTTGCTGAAAATGGTGATACCTCAAGGCAAAGTGGTGGCGTTTTTGCTGAGGCCAGCAGAACTAAAGAAAATAAACTGAAACGTACAGTTGAGAAAAAGACAGTTGATTCTGGTGAAAATAGAGCCAATAATGGTACATCGGAAGAAGTCGTGAGTCCTGTAAATTCCATTATGCCAGAAAGGTTTACTCAGACAAGTATTTTGGGAGGAAAAGTGGAAATGAAAGTACAAACTCCAAGTGTCTCCCGACAAGATGCTACTGTTGACAGAATTGTAGCAGATAAAGAAATAGGTGATAGGCAGGTCGAAACCACAGATGACGACATTCTTACTGCAGAGAGGAGGGAAAACAGCTCAAGTAGCTGCAATGAGAGCATCTCAGAACTGAAGTTTTCAGATGACTTCACCAGCCCTTGCTATTCTGAAGATTTCTGTACCACCGAGAACACCAGCAGAAGTTTACAAGCTCACAAGGGCAGTCCAAGAGCAGAAAATCCAAAACGCAGTCAGCGTATAAGTCAGTCTAGTGAAGCAGGATTGTCCATAAGGAAAAATAGTAGTGGAAAGAGTTCTATTCCTAGCCCCCCGTTTTCAGCTGGATCGCCAGTACTTTCATGTAGAAGATCTCATATTTCAAAGATCCAGGATAAAAGTTTGGAGGAAGCATCTGTTGTCTCTACCAGTTATTCGTCTTCATCACTTTGGACTGAGGAAAAGGAAAACCAGGTAGACCAAAGTAGTAGGCATAATTCTAAAGCTGCAAAGCGAGATCAAGACATCTCTGTTAAACTTAAAACAAGAACTGGTTGCAAGTCCTTAGAAAAAAGCCAGTCACTGCGGACATCTCAGGAGAGTTCTTATCTGCCATCTAATTTGTCAGAACTTAAGGTCCTGGATAGCAGTATATCAGATCACTTTGAAGAAGATAATGATGACTTTGGTTCACTAAATATTTCCAAGCAATGCAAAGATATCTGCGAACTAGTAGTAAATAAATTTCCAGGATATACGATGTAAAAATATGTGCTTTAAAAAAAAAAAAAAGAAACACAACTCTTTGCATTATTAGATAATGATGACTTTGGTTCACTAAATATTTCCAAGCAATGCAAAGATATCTGCGAACTAGTGGTAAATAAATTTCCAGGATATACGATGTAAAAATATGTGCTTTAAAAAAAAAAAAGAAACACAACTCTTTGCATTATTTTAGTACACAAATTTATGTGAATAATTCTTTTTAAAAATATAAATAAGTTAGCCATTCCTTTGATGTTTCAATGGTATTCTGCCATTAAATCTGATAATACTGAAATCACCTCACAACCTAGGTAAGATTTCTTTTTAAGTTGTTTAATCTTATAAGAATAAAAGTATCTATCTTTTTAAACTATCTCTCTCAAAGTATCTAACCTAAAGTATTGATCATTCTGAAGATGAATTCATGTGTGCCATTGAAAAAAGAATGCTAGTTAATTAGGATATTCTCATTTTAATAAGAATAAGTAATTTAACAAATATAGAAGACTTACTGTATAAGATGCATGAAGGTACAAAACTATTTAAGATATAGCCCCTGCTGTTAGAAGAGCTTACAGTCTTATGTATTTAAGAAGTCTTCCTTGATATGTACATGTCTCATGTCCCCAGTAGGTGAAGTTTCTTTTATATGCTGTCATGGTGCTCTGTTCCTTTTTTTAAAAAACATGATTTGTGTGATTACTTCATTAATGTTTTTCTTCCACTAGGCTTAAGTTCTGTGACCAAAGGGACGGTATCTCTTCTACACACCAATGTTGTCTCAGTATCTCGCACAGTCCCTGGCACATGGTTGGGGTGCAGTAAAAACATTTGTTGAAGAAATGAATGAAAGCCAGGCTTTAAAATACTTGTGGGAGGGAATAGGACTAAGCAGTGGAAACAACAGAGACCCTAAAAANAGTAAATAAATTTCCAGGATATACGATGTAAAAATATGTGCTTTAAAAAAAAAAAAAAGAAACACAACTCTTTGCATTATTATAGTACACAAATTTATGTGAATAATTCTTTTTAAAAATATAAATAAGTTAGCCATTCCTTTGATGTTTCAATGGTATTCTGCCATTAAATCTGATAATACTGAAATCACCTCACAACCTAGGTAAGATTTCTTTTTAAGTTGTTTAATCTTATAAGAATAAAAGTATCTATCTTTTTAAACTATCTCTCTCAAAGTATCTAACCTAAAGTATTGATCATTCTGAAGATGAATTCATGTGTGCCATTGAAAAAAGAATGCTAGTTAATTAGGATATTCTCATTTTAATAAGAATAAGTAATTTAACAAATATAGAAGACTTACTGTATAAGATGCATGAAGGTACAAAACTATTTAAGATATAGCCCCTGCTGTTAGAAGAGCTTACAGTCTTATGTATTTAAGAAGTCTTCCTTGATATGTACATGTCTCATGTCCCCAGTAGGTGAAGTTTCTTTTATATGCTGTCATGGTGCTCTGTTCCTTTTTTTAAAAAACATGATTTGTGTGATTACTTCATTAATGTTTTTCTTCCACTAGGCTTAAGTTCTGTGACCAAAGGGACGGTATCTCTTCTACACACCAATGTTGTCTCAGTATCTCGCACAGTCCCTGGCACATGGTTGGGGTGCAGTAAAAACATTTGTTGAAGAAATGAATGAAAGCCAGGCTTTAAAATACTTGTGGGAGGGAATAGGACTAAGCAGTGGAAACAACAGAGACCCTAAAAATTGCAGAAAATCCTTACTGGAGACATGTTTGACTGTAATATTTTTGTTTTGCTGGGTATAAATAACCTTCAGGTGTTCTTTAAAAGTACTTGGAGAGGGAAACTAGAAAAGGTGTCTTCCTATACAGTTTCTTATATAAAGTTGAGTTTATTGTTAGTCATTTCAGGTTGTTCAGTAATTATTTTTGATGTATGCAAGTTGGTTTTTATGAGGTCTAGTGATCATTTCTTTATGATTTCTTCCATTGGTTTTATATTTAGTCCTTATTCTGTGTTCAAGTATTTACATATGTTTTCTTCTGTGTTATATTTAATTCTTAGACCTTTTAATATATCTAATATTTTTGAATGTATGAGATCGGTCCTAATTTTCCTTTCTCTTTGAGTAATTAAACAATTTGAATGACCATAATAATAGGATTTAGATAGGTGGTAAGAGAAGAGGATGTTACATTTTGGGGAATTATATGAATTAAAAAATGATGGGAATAAACATGATGTGTTGATAGGACAGCGAGAATATTATCTTGATTAGAATAACAGGTTCATGCTACAGAGTGGTAGAAAGGAAATTTGTTGAGTAAGAAGACTCCTAAATTGTAGAGAGTGTCAGATGCCAAGCATAATAATAAAGTCCTTAGTAATAGGAACAAGAGTATTTTAGGTTATAAATGAGCACCAGTAAGTAGTCATGACATTTTGAATATTTTAAATTATTGGAAATAATTACCTAGAGGCACAGAAATTATGCCAGAAAAAGTTTTGAAATATAAAAGGTTTTTAATGGATAGTGACTATGATCTTCGTATTTCAGTAAATATAAAGTGTATGGTATATTATCTCACAAAGTCAAAATAACTTAATGCCAGGTACTGTAGCTAAATAGTCAAATGATAACATCTGTGTATATATTTTAATAACAATTATTTTTTACTATGGAAGAAACAAAAATATAAATAATATTGGAACCGTCAAAAAAATAATTCCTTAAAAATCATTTTATTTGGCTGAGAATAAGTCATTGTCCTGATGAGAGCAGGTGAGGAAGACGATGGTTTCGTGTCTAAGGCACAACAGAAACCAAAGAACTTTTAATTAATAAAGCTGAGTAGCTGAACAAGCTTCTCTTTGAGTTATTTCATGAATTGTTATTTCTAGTATTGTGGTATTGTTTTTTCCAGCCTAATTCTAGTGAAAATATCTGTTTTCACATATTTAGTGCTTCCTATTCTTAATCTATTTCATGTATTAATTCTACAGTCTATGAACCTCCTTTTAAAGAATTTCATAATAATCACTACTCGTGAAGGCTTATTTATCTCAGTTGCTTAAAATTATTGAAACATGAAGTGGTGCTTCAAGGTCACAAATAAGGGAGACCTGTCATTTCATTTTAAAGCTAAGCTATTGCAATCCAGCTTTTCTGAATAGCGTGGGTATCTGAACTGCTGTGAAGAAAGCTGAATGGGACAGAGTCTAAGAAGCAAAGTAAGCCACAGGCGTGATCTCAGGACCTACCTCCATGTGGAATTAATGCGTACAGTTAGGAGGCAGCTGTCAGTCATGACAAGTCCTCTGAACTCTTGCCATGAACACATTCACAGAGGACTGTACAGGTGCATACAATATGTTGTTTTTCCTCTAGTCGTATGCATGCTGTTGATGGCATTTTCAGATACAAAGAACAACTGTTATTGAACTTCTGTCATGCAGTTATTGTGGCTTTCTGTTGAGAGCCACTTCTAGTCTCAGTGAATTTATATATATATTTTTGTGTACAAGCAGTGAATTTATTATGGAATGATACTTACAAGACATTTATTTGTAGCAAACACATAGGTCAGCACCATAAGTTAAAAAAAAAAAAAACACGTTTTTTTTAATTGCTACATTGTGTTGTAGGCAAGGCAAAGACATTTCATAACAAAAACAGCAACATGTTAATAAGATAGTTTCGAGTTTGTTGAGTCAAACTGTCCTTAGGCCTAGAGAAATAGTCATTCTTCAGGCTGTTTATATTTTAATTTGGATTAAAATTTCTAGAGAGTTGTACAGAATGTCACCATAGGGGCCAAGACTTGCTGGATCCTTCTGTTCTAACTTTTAACCTAAGACAATACAAGGAGAACTTGCTTAACCGAGGACCAAGGCATTCTTACCGATTCTCTCCCGCGATCTAACTGTGGTTCTAGGAGGTAACAGACTTCAGGATGAGCATCATTGTGTTGGAGTGTGGAACCATAGTGGCCGAAGTATTTCCTTATTTTCCAAACACTTGTTAAGTCTCTGTCATACTATTGTATCTAGAAAATTAATCTAGAAAAAAATCAGGAAATTCAGATAAAAGATTTTTGCTTTAAAATTGTCTACTAAGGAAAAGTTATAGTCCTTTCCTTTTAAAATCCCACTAAAACAACAGAAGAGATGTAATGACAAGAATGAACCCTGGAAAACAAGGAAGATGCTGGCAATGGACAAGACAGTTTGAGGAACTTCTGGAGGATACAAAGCAGATGAGTAGGATTAGGTTGGTGAAAAGACTCTAGGAGAAATTCCTCTTCAACACAGGGTGCTTCAGCACAAGGGTTCTGCGGGAGAAATGAGATCGTTTTCTAACAGAGCATCAGATAAACTTCAGGCTCAGGGCTTGGGAGCAGGAGCAGGTCATGGGGCAGAAACAGAACCCTGAGTACAGTGGAGAAACGGGGCCTGGGCCAAAGGTTATCTGCTAGAAAAGGTGTGGGGCCAGAGAGACAGGTGAGTAGTTTTTTGCTTTTGGCATCAAGTCATATCCAAAGTGTGTCTCCATTTTACTGGGGAGACTGCTAACCCTAGAGGCAAGTTAAAGTGGTATAAACCTGGTCTTTAGAGACAGATGAGTGGAGGTGGAGGTGCATCCTTGACTATGTAATACTGTCTCTTGGAGACCATTTCTTCATTATGGAATTGGTTTCAGGATCGAATCAAGTAATTTGGGTATGGCATATAGGACAGTGAATGTGAGTGTTGGCAGGTGTATTTAATGCCATTCCAGGAATGAACCATGGTATCTGTATTCCCACCCTAGGGACTACAGTCAGGAATACTTCAGTCGGGAAAGCACCTCCGCCTTCGAAAAGGCTTCAGCAACTCTCCCCCAGCAAGGCAAAGAAGTCTGCGGAGATGGACGAGGCGGCATAGAGGCTTCTGGCCATGGGTAGGAGACCGTTCAGGTGAGAGAGCAGCAGAGCCACAAAACCAGGTAGGAGCCCTTCTCAGAACTTAAAGCCAAGTGGGGCATCTAGCTCTGTGCAGTGCTGGGGGCGGGGGAGGCACAAAGCCTCCCTACCGTTCCATAAGAGAGGGAAGTGAGCCAGAGCATAAGTAATGGCAGAATTGTCTAAAATAGTCATAAAGTGGTGCATCAGTGCAGAACGTCTCCCTGCAACCCTGGGTATGGGGCCCTTCCTACAGGACGTTGCTTTAAATCCTCCTGAAAGGTCTTTTGTTTTGCTTTGTCTTTCCTGTCTGTATATTCACATCTTTTCGTAGGAGGTGTACAGAAGTGTTTACTCCTGTCTTTTAACCACCCTGGGGGTCAGGATGGGGTGAGTGGGGAAGGGGCCATCATGATACATTGTAATAAAATAGCCAGAGCTCATAGAACGAGTTGGGAAGGGAGGAGACTTAGCTTTCAAACCAGATATTGTGACTGAGTAGGACCCGTGACAGCAGGAATCCGTGAAAAGCTTTGGGTTTACAAAAGAATTGCTGGTGCTTGTCCAGGAACAGGACAGAGTAGGAGATTAGACAAGCTCCGGAGTGGTAGAAAGACAAGGTAGCCGCTGAAGGGCATGTGTCGGGAAGAAAGAACGTGGGATGGAACAGGTGCGTGAGTCAGGGAGCGAGCTGGTGCCTGCAGGACCAGCTGTGCTTGCAGTTCGACTGTGTAGAATATTGTGTGTTTTATTTACTTTTTCTCGGTTTTAGTAGAGTTCTTTTCTGAAGGATCTTCTGGTTGGGCTATAAGAGCGATAGGATATGCTTTTGGTTTCTCATAATTGAGCTGGAATCCTAAAGGAGAAGCAGGTTACCCAGAGTCTACCTCACGAAAGACTGAGAAAAAAAGACACAGGGGCTCTTGGACGCCGCTCCCTGCTACCCAGAGATTGCTCTTCCAGCTGTTCTCTCCTGAAGACCTGGGAGTTTTGCATTTTGTCTTATTAAGGGAAACTGTTCCGTTACAGCATCTCCCACCCATCTACTGCCCCGAGTGCCGCATCTCATGACTTGTGATTTCGGTGTCAGCCCTGCAGAGGGAATAGGGACTTAATTCTGGACTGAGTGACATAAAAAATAATGGATTGCTTTAGATGCAGAGGAGCCTTTTGTTCAGAAGACTTGGACTGAAAATTATTGCTTGAATATTCCGAATTTTTAAGAGTATTTCCAAGTACTTGTTTGTGTTTTTGTTTTTTTTTTTTTCAGCATCCAGTGAACTTTATTGAAGAGAAACATCTGCTGAATCACTGAGAAGGGGATGACATCACAGAGAGGAACTCCTGATGACCATGAGAGGCCATAGGTCCTGTGGCCCCCTCCTCCTGGGGTTCCTGGCCAGGTGCCACCTCTGTCCCCCATGCTGTGGCCCTCCTGCCACCTTCTCCCTTCCTTAGGGCCCCCAGATTTTCCTCTGGCCAGGATGGTGGACTCTGGCAATGTCCACTCACTTGAGGGATCCCCCTCCTGGGCTGACCCGTTGGGCCAGGTCCTGCCCTACGGCCTGCACAGGACAGTCACAGGACACTGGAGAACACGGCAGGAAACACGCCACTGAGCGGAGGAAACCAAGGCATGAGTAACAACATGTTGGACGTCAGAGCTCAGGGTCTCCGGGAGGAACTGTTCAGATAAGATCACATTCATCCCCACAAGAACAAGCGGCCGGTGGCCTGAATCTACAGTGAGAAAGTAGAGGTGCAGCTGGCGACACGACGAGAGCCAGCAGAGCCTTGGCTCCTCGCCCGGAAGCTCACAGCACGTGCCCGGGCCCAGAGGTTGCTGACCAGGTAGGACAGGATGCGCCCCGGGGTGGACACGGGCCTCACTGCTTTGCACAGAAACGATGGCAGTGGGGGTTAGGGGGGAGTGGGAGCACTTGCTTGACATGTGAATCATCCTGGGGCCAACACAGATAAGGGTGGGCTTCCCAGAGAAGGGATCAGCCTGCCCTGGTACCGGGAATGGGGGGACCCCTCTTGGGAGACCCAGGCAGCTGGCACCCTTGAAATGGCCTCTTTCCCCTAATGTCTCCCAGTCCAGTGCAGGTGGCAGCCGTCTTCAGGTCCCTCATCCAGGCTTGACCGGCCACTCAGGGGGGCCTCCAGCACAGCTGCCCGAGGTGGTGGGGTGTGGGGCAGGGCTCGTCATCCACGGGTGCTCAGCTGTGGTCCACTGTGACAGTCCCAGGTTCCCCTTGCCTTCTCTCTCCTGCGGCTCTGCACAAACACAACAGAACGAGACAACACCCCCACTCCTCCTCCTCCTCCTGCTTTGGAACAAATTCTTCCTGCACCCCCACTCTGGCCGAAGCCAGCTGTGGGGACACTGGCCCACCAGACATCCAGCACCCCTGCCTGGGGGTCTTCTCCTCCCAGTGTTTGGTCTTTTTGCCCACAGAGCCCTGTCAGGCTGCAGAGGGAGAAAACTGCCTCTCAGCTGGCACGGGGCTCCCAGGGCCTCTGTGTGTGTTGCCCTCAGCTCAAGGGTGCTCCCTGCCTGGGGCTCCCCTAGAGCAGTGGAGATGATCCTTGAAAGAAAGTGAGCGGACGACCCTCGGGCTACGTGCAAAGTGATGGGCAGCCCGGGACTGAAGGGGACGCACGGACAAGGAATCACGCGAGACCCCCGGGCTGACAGTTCGCCAGAGAAGTTCCGCTTTATTCAAGGACTGCGCCTACATTTATAGGGTGCTGTGCTCCGGGGCGGGAGAGAGAGTGGACGGGGCGGTAACTGATTGGACAGGGCTGGGCAGGAGGTGAGCCTTGACCTGTGACTGGCTGAGGTTTGGCGTGGGTGGGCTTGGGTGTTGGCGCCAGCGGGCTTGTTTACTGCAGAGAAGAACCAGGAAGGGTGCCATATTGCCAGGGTGTGTCCCTGTTCAGGCACCCATGGGGTCCCTACAGGGACTGCCTTCAAAATGGAAGGCAGCACCAGGTGTGGGGGTGGTAGAGCTTATATAGGGTGCCAGGGGCTGGCTTCTACAACTAAGGAGGGGCATTATATTAATGCAGAAACTGTGCAACCAGGGTGGAGAACTGCGCCCTTGCAGAAGCAAAAGGGTTTCTGTTTAAGTCATGAGGCTTCTTGTAAAGGGAAGGGGGGAGGGGTTTGGTGCTGGAGTGGAAGACAAGGCAGGTGACTGTTTTGTGCTTATTGTATGCACAATGACCCTGGTCACGTCCAAAATCTAGGCTGGACCCTGAAGCCTCCCCTCCGGGGTATTACTTCTCTGCTTTGCAGCTCTTCCTCGCCAGCACTGGCTCCTTCTGGCTGGGGCAGTCCCTGGGCAGGCTCTTCCAGGCCCCACAATGCCTGGGGGCCCATGAGCATGTTTAGCTCAGAGTGCACAGGGTGGGCATTAGGGGCTGACCAGATGATTGGGCTCATGCTTGGGCCAGAGCCCTCAGCCACACCTTCTTGAGCCTCTATTTTGCTGGGGTCCCCACCTGAGGCTCGGGCACCCCATGTGCTGGGTGCAGCAGCTCCCTACTTGCATGTCTGGCACCTTGTCAGGGCCTTCCATGAGTCACGTGGGGTTTGGTCTTGTTTGGTGGAATCCCTTCCAGCTGGTGGAGGAGGAGGGGGGCAGGGCCTGGGCCCGGCTGCCCTGCCCCTCTGCCCACCTCAGGTCAACTGTTGTTGGCCTGGGCTGTCCCTCCCCCTTGCTACAATGTCTCTGCTGCCTGCAAGGAGAAGCAGTGCCTGGATCTTCTGAGCCTATGGCTCGTAGGGCTCAGGGTGGCTCACGGCCCCAACCCCTGTCTCATTTTCCGACGCTGCTGACTCTTCCACTACAAGCTGTGGCCTCCACGTTAATGGAGGTTTGTTTTCAGCCACGGCACACACTGCCTGGCCGTGGCCTTTGTCCCCAGTGCTGTGGCTGCACAGCAGTCGCCTGTACTGCATTGATGGGCGAGCCCCTTCCTGCAGCATCTGGCTGTTGCTCTCGCCAAAAGACCCTGCCTGCATGGTGACCTGAGCTGCCGGGAATGCCTGCCCGATGGCCCCTGCTACTGCCTGCCTACCTGAGGCCCTCCGGCCCCTTCCCACACGACTCTGCTTCTCCGTCACCGCCGGGGTGGTCTCCCGCTCCTCTTCATCTCCAATGAGTTTCATTAACGCCATAAAAGTGGGAGGACATTCTTGCTGATCCAGGAGCTGGAGCTTGTCGCAGAGGGTGTTGGTCACGGAGGCCCTAGTGAGAAAATGTTTCAGGCGAGTTATGTCTGTGCTTTGCTCTAAGAGGCTGTGCTGCATGGCTTTCTGCAGCAGGGGCTCTAAGCACAGTAAGTAAGCAGAGACTTTCTCTTCGGTCTTCTGAAAGGTCTGAAGAAACCTAAACTGAGAGGTTCTGAAGTCCTCTTTATTCCCAGAGATGATCTTCAGGGCGTCCAGGTACTGCTCCACAGTGATGGAGTCATTGTGGGCCCAGAGCACCCGGACGGTGGACAGCGCAGGGCCGCCTCAGCTCTCCAGCAGACGCCGCCTCTTCTCCACCTCAGACACTTGCCACATCTGCATCATCTCAGTGACCTGCTCCAGCCACCCTTCAGAGGTCTCTTCGCCTGGGCCTGGGAAAGCACTTTCCAAAAACACTCTCAGTTTTCGGTACCACATACTTTCTTCCAGAGCCTGCAAAACTGCTCGTCAGACTTGGCTCGAGCCCTCTAGCTCCATGTCCTCACGGGCCAAGGTGCTATAGGCCAGGGTTTTGGCCACATCTACCGTTCTCCAGCCCTCATCTTTCAGGAAGTAGTTCAGTCTATTGATAAAGTCTTCATCTGAGTTCAGGGGTTTTACCACCACTTCCCAGGTGCCCCGTTTCCTGGTATCTGACTAGGGATCGTAACGTAATTGACAGTGTCAGCCAACTCGATGAGGACTGCCTGTGGCATTGTCTTCCCTTAGGAACATTCTGCCCGGCACCCTGTGCGCACACAGGGGCTGCAAGCCTGCCTTCACGGTCTCTTTAGTTTCAGCCTCGCTGTACTCCACGGGGATGCCCACGATCAGCAGGGCCTTCCTGGGATCCAGGTCCATGCCCTTGCGCCAGTCTTCTAACAGTGTCACTGCCATTTCTCTCATCTGCCTACGGACTGATCTAACACTAGGGAAGTAATGAGCTCAGTGCTTCACCAGACTCAAATAATTCTGAGCCAATGCCAAGGAGGAAGGCAGAAGTGTCCCAGGTTTCCACAGCCTCCTTTTTCTGTGGATTCCTCCTTGAAATCCGTGTGCTGTGGACGCCCTGCTGAGTAGGGTCCCGCTAGCAGTTCAGATGCTGCTGCAATTCTGATTCCACGAGCACTCAACACTTGGTCTGCCCTCTAGCTCTGTCCAGTCAGGCAGACCCAGAGGTAACGGGTCTTGCTGCGCTTGATCTATCCAGAGCAAGACAGAGGTATTTTGGTGTGATTCTGGTCCATGTCTCCCAACTCAGGTGGTGCCGATTCTAAGTCACCACAAGGACTCTGGTACAGAGATACAGGAAACTACCTGACTGGGGGCTGCTGCTTTAGATGCCTCCAGGTCAGAGCATCCGTGCAGTGCAGACACCATGTGTATGTCACTGCTGCTGCCGCGATGCAGACTGGGCCATGAGGCCTTTTAAACCGTTGATGTGAACAGCATGGTACTCACACTGGTGAGGTAGTAGTGATGCTTTTATTTTGTAATGTGTGCATTCAGTGGCCTTGACTCCATGTTTGACCTCCTCTGCACGCTGGTGTGGGGGTTGGGTCCCCAAGTCTTAAGGCAGCTCTGCTCCTGTGGGTTTCCTGGTCTCAGGTGATGCTTTAGCTCTCCCAGCCTGCATTGCACACTGGTTGCTGCACAGGTCTGGGGTCTCCATGGCAGTCCCACTCTCAAGGCTCCAGTAGGCCTGGCACTGTTGGGGTTTCTCTGCTGCAACTAGTTTCTGAGACTGGGAAGGCCAAAGTCCATCTGGTGGTGGTGACAGTGATGCATGGGTCTCACATTGCAAGATGGTGGAAGCAGAGAGAGCAGAGCCGGAAAAGCATTTGTTAACCTGAGGTTTTTAAGATCTTTCTAATCTCCTGAGAAAGCCCTGGGTGTAAACATCTGTTTTTTGTTAACAAAGGGCTCCATATCCTGGCTATTCTTTGTAACAGCCAGAATTCAGGTCTCTAGGAGGACAAAACTTCCGTTTCAGATAAAGCTTCCTTCGATTCTGGTGCTGCTGTTCTGCAGCACGTGACTTCTTGGTGCCCCTTCCTTCCTCCTCAGTCACCACGTGGGTCCCTAGCGTCAGCCTCTCAGAACCAGTGTGGGAGGCAGGGTTTCACTAAATGATGGCCTCACTTCTCACTGGATGACAGAAGTGCTTAAAAAAAAAAAAAGGAACATGGTAAAATGGTCTCCATTGTATTCATTCATTTTAGCACTAACATCTCCCTCCCCTGACTAGGGCTTCGCAGCCTGTAAGGGGCTCCCACGATCTCCCTCCTCTTCACGGGGACCCTGCGAGCTACACACCCACGGAGATGCGGGGACTGAGGCCGTTCCCATGTCCATCACCTTTGTCACTTCCCCAGAGAAACTGGAAGGCTCTCAGCATAAGCCTCAGAAAAGTAATGTTCCTTCAATACTCCTAATGTTTCCAGAATCAGAGGGGACAGCAATGGTAAATTCCAGTTTTTTCTGTTTGTTGTTCTCTTGTTGTGGCAAGAACATACAGTGTGAGATCTTCCCTCTTAGCAAGTGTTGACGTGCACAGCACATGATTGCTGAGTGCAAACCCTGGAGCTCATTCGACCAGCTCGACTGAAACTTTATGCCCGGTGATTACAACTTTCCACCCCCGCCCCCAGCCCCTGACAGCCATGCCAGTCTTGGACTATATGCACTGGGCTATTTTAGATGCCTCCTACAAGTGGACTCACATTGGTCTTTCTGTGACCAGGTTATTTCACTTAGTGTACTGTCCTCCGCATTCATCAGTGTTGTCCCATATTGCAGAATTTCCATCTTTCTTAAAACCAAATAATATCCCATTGTATGTCTTTACGTGTTTTCTTTATCCATTCATCTGTCAGTGGACATTTAGGTTGTTCGCACATCTTGGCTATTGTGACTGATGCTGCAATGAACATGGGAGTGCTGATTCCTCTTTGAGATCCTGATTTTAATTTATTTGAATAAATACCCAGAAGTGAGAAATTGCTCTGTTTTAGCCCTTCCTTTTTCATGTGTGTGTTTTATTTTTATCTTCCAGCTCAATTAAGCAATTGTTTTTACTGAACCAGATGTATGCTTTCCGACATCAAAAATAAGTGTCCATCTGTGTGCTGAGAATATAACTATACTGTCATGAATCTA